GAAGAGAAAGTGGGTGGTACCCTTGAACGAATTGGTACAGGAGACAGCTTCCTGAACATAACACCAGTAGCACAGGCAGTAAGATCAACAATTAATAAATGGGACCTACTGAAACTGAGAAGCTTCTGTAAGGCAAAGGACACAGTCAGCAAGACAAAAAGGCAGCCCACAGAATGGGAAAAAATATTCACTAATCCCACATCTGACAGAGGGTTGATCTCCAAAATTTACAAAGAACTCAAGAAGCAAGTCTCCAAAACACCAAAGGACCCTATTAAAAAGTGGGCTGCAGAACTAAATAGAGAATTTTCAATAGAGGAGTCTAAAATGGCTGAGAGGCACTTGAGAAAGTGATCAACATCCTTAGCCATCCGGGAAATGCAAATCAAAACAACTCTCAGATACCATCTCACCCCTGTCAGAATGGCTAAAATCAAAAACACCAATGACAATTTATGCTGGAGAGGATGTGGTGAAAGGGGGACACTCCTCCATTGCTGGTGGGAGTGCCAACTGGTTCAGCCACTTTGGAAATCAGTGTGGAGATTTCTCAGAAAAATGGGAATAAACCTACCACAAGACCCAGCAACTCCACTCTTAGGCATTTATCCAAAAGATGCCCATTCGTACAACAAAGATGTCTGTTCCACTATGTTCATAGCAGCTTTATTTGTAATTGCCAGAACGTGGAAGCAACCTAGATGTCCCTCACCTGAAGAGTGGATAGAGAAAATGTGGTACATCTACACAATGGAGTACTATTCAGCAGAAAAAAATAATGGAATCATGAGATTCGCAGGCAAATGGATGACACTAGAAGAAACCATCCTGAGTGAGGTAACCCAGTCACAAAAAGAGAAACATGGCATGTACTCTCTCATATATGGATTTTAGACATAGATCTGGGGAGTGCCAGCCTACAATCCTATGGCCAGAGAGTCTGGGAAACAGAAACTTTATTTAGTGGCTGATCGAAGAAGAGGCAGACTCCCTTGGTTAAGTACTGAGCTGAACTCAAGAAAGCCAGTAACAGAGAGGGAGGACTGATGATCAAAGGGATTAAGACTGGGCTGGTCTAACCCCAGAAACAGCTGACCAGACAAAGGTTAACTCTTGAATCCCAGGCATTAGCCTGGGAAGCCAGCATGGGACTGATCAAGACCCCCTGAATCTGGGTGTCAGTGAAGAGGCCTAGGGATTCTATTGAGCCTTGGGCAGCAGATCAGTACCCATCCCAAGTATACACACGGACTTTGGACTCCAATAGAACAATGTGAGGTGCACTCTCACCCTGAACTCTTGGGAAAGGGTCTAGGCCCTGCCCTATATGAAATGGCACACTATGGACACCCCCATGGAGGGCCTCACCCTCCCTGGAGAAATGAGGGGATAACGGGGGGGGGGAGGGCACGGGAGGAAGGGAGGGAATGGGAGAGGGACCTGGAACTGACTTGTGAAGCAACCTTGATTCTTATCTAAATTTAAACTGGAAAATAAAATTAAAAAAAAAGTAAACGGGAATAATTAAAACAAAAAAATATGTTAATTTCACCACAACTCAACTGAGTTGAAATTTTCTTTTACATTTTTCATGAATATATGATTTGTTCAAATTATGGGAATAGAATCTAATCTGAAACATTGTGGAAATATGTTGCCATTGTTAAGGAAAATGCACAAGTTGTATAGCCAACAAGCTAACAGTTAGTCGTTAAGATCACTGGCTACTCTTCCAGGGAACCTGAGTTCAGCACTTACATGGCACTGACAACATGCCTATAACTCCAGTTCCAGGGGACCTGTTGCCCTCTTCCATCCTTCAGGGTCCTACTTGAACATGGTGCACATACATACACTTAGACACACACAAAATAGAAAGACAGATATATGTTTTCAAAGAATACACTACACAAGAATTTCTATTGTAAAAACAAAAAGCCTAATTCCGGATGGTAGTTAACTCTTTGATAAGTCTGTCTGGAAGGTATCAAGGCAAAAATACTTCTGGGAGCTGGTAATGCCTTGATTCTTGATTGGGTGTTTGTTGTGCAAGACTATCCAATTTGTGGGAATCCCTTGAACAATAACTAGTGATTTATGTCTTTTTTCCTTAAAAACCTCTATTTACAAAATTTACTGCCAGTACCTACCCTGCCTCATGAACTCAGCATTAACCCGGTTTTTAATTCTAGTTGTTTCTCCTCTACTAATTCAGCCTTGTAGCCTTGCTCAGTCTTTTCCCCAGGTGTAAACACTACGACCTTGACCTCTGATTAATTTTAACCCAGTGTAAGAAGTTCTCAAATCATCTAAACGACTCACCAAGTAACAGGCAGACAGACTTTCCGGTATTGGAAAACCTAAAGAGTTAACCTTGGGCACAGGCAGGAGCTGTACAAATGATTGGAAACGTAGCATCTGCCACTCCTTTCCTGTTGCCATCTTGAAGACAGAAGGGAATGCTATTTGGTGGGGGTAATAGATATCCTACCTGATTAATAAAACAAACATTTCCCCCAAACTCACTCTATACTATCTAATTTGTGTTGCTGGCATTTTTTGTTGTTGTCATTGTTTGTTTGTTTTTGTTTTGTTTTTATTTTTTGTCATTGTCCCCATTTTATTTTATTTTTACTTTTTATTTTATTTTATTTAACGTTTTACACATGTTACTCTCAGTTCTCTTTCCCTCCCCTCCTCCCTCAGTCCCCCATTCCTCCCAACCCCCCATCCCACTCCATCTCCCTCTTGCTCCCCAGGGAGGGTAAGACCTTCCATGAGGGATTTTCAGGGTCTGTCATATAATCCCAGGCAGAGCATAGGTCCTCCCCCATGAGTTCAGCAGGAGAGAGCATCCCTCCATATGGAATGGGCTTCCAGAGGTGTTTTAAACATTCTCGCTGCTACTCAAATATATGTGAGACAGAAACGCAAGGCTCCCATCATCCCTTTAGCAAGATCTTCAGCAAAACTGTTTGACAAGAACAGACTTCATAAGTAGCAACAAAAGCTTCCCTCATCCCAGTGCAGATTTTCTTAAAAATGGTTCTCTGTGCTGCAGTGTTGTGCAGAGACATGGGAGACAGCTCATCTTAACTGAGTCAGCAAAGCCCTGCTCTCTTACTTGCTATAGGTTGCCACAATCTCTCATATCTCCTTGTCCTTTTGTTTTCTTTCCATTTATCTTGTGAGTCTCTTACTGCTCTTCAGTTGGACGTGACTAGGAACAAAGAGAACTGAGATGGTCTGCATATGAATTTATGTGTGTGTGCATCCTAAAATAACTGCCACAATGATAAACATTTCACCTGTGTTATTTAGGAACCAAGAGAACATACTGCTGGGAGTTGACAGGACCACAATTCCCCTACAAACTATTTCCCACACAATAAATATGTTTGTCTTCCATTAGTACTTATTTTACTACAGTGTTTTATAAAAGTCCAACAGTGGACTTTACAATAATTGCTTTTCTCATGCTTTTGTACATGTGTTTATGAAGTCCCTGGGACATGGTCTTCCCTGTAAATGCAACAAGAACACTCCCCCAAAAAGGCATCACCATGAATTTCCAACACATGGCCTACAGTAAGATGTTGACTTCTTCCTTGAAGGTCACCATTTGGGGCTAAAAATTTAAGAAAACAGGAAACTGGGGGATCATCAAGCTTTCTAGATGACACAAGCACAAGTCTGGCAATGGAGTAGAGCCAGAGAGTGCAGATGCTTCTATCACTTGCTCAAAGCACTAGAAACAGAAGGGTGCTTTACACAAAGACCAAGAAGGCGTGGAGGTCCTGGGGATGCTAGAGTTACACAGACAGCTCATGGGTGGAGAGAATATGAGTGCCAGAGCTCTTGGCTGGAGAAATAGTCAGTTAATTAATTGATCTGTAGAATCCTTCTTTGGACTGAAAGACCCATTCTCTTGTTTCTTTTGGTTCCAATCACTGGATCCAGAGGTATAGAAGAATTGATACAGACTTACTGTGTATAGTGGTCAAGGAGAATTTTGCAACATTAAAAAAACAAGATTCTAAAAGCTGTATATTTAAGAAAATACTGCTAATTAGGTATGTGTTCAAAGCTAGAATCATCACTAGTTATATTTCATTTAAAAGTTTTCAAAGAATTTCACTGAATTTTACAAAATTAAATTTTAAATGTCAGCTTTATTTAAACAATTTGAAGGTTCAAATAGGGCAAATCTATGATAATGGTGCTGACATGGTTAGTAAAGAAAAAGATGTAAGACTGTAAATTTGGCTGAAAACCAGAAGCATTCTTTGTGCCATGCAGGGCACATGTTTTAAATTTGTTACTATGAGACATAGCCCCAGCTGGGCCAATAGCAATGGCAGTCCTTGGGATGACTCAAAATTGTATATGACATTTTCTGGACTTGCCCCAAAATGGAACATCTTGATCAAACACTATCATTTTTGACTTTAGGAGCTCTCTTGATCACATGACATATGCTGTCAGAATGCTGATAAAGAAATCATCTTTAATTCAAACAAGACACAAATGCACCAGAAGAGTTAAGTGAATGGGGAAGATGCTCAACTGAAGAGGGAATCATGGTCTTTGAAAGAAAAATTAACTAAGTTTGCATTAGCCAGAATCATTTGGCAGGAACCAAGGTTGCTACTGGATTAGCGATAGTTTATAAAAACAGATACAGTTTTGGCCACTTTATTTCTAAAGGGATTTCATAAATTATAGATAAAAATGTGGGCTTTCTTCCTAATTTAAAATTGTATGTGAAGTGTGGAATAAAGCAACCCCTTGGGGAAAAAGAAAAGAATAAATAAATTATAATAAGGAAATAAAACATTTACAATTCTAAAGGGGAACAATCAAGTACAAATAAACCCAAATTAACTTTCTACCAAGAATAGTCCACAGATCCTATTAAGGAACTGGGGAGACAGATGGCACAGTGGCTAAAGCTAGAGGACTGGAACTCAGACCAATGCAAGACAGGCATGGTAACTTACCTGTAATTCTAGCCTTGGAAGGAAGAGGGAATTCTCAGGGCAAGCTGCCAAGTCATGGGAGCTGCATTGCAAAGCCTGGGTTTCATTGAGAGGACTGCCTCAAAACAGAAAGAGTAAAGTGTGAAAGTTATCAAGAAAGATTCTCAATATCAAGCCTGTGGATCCACATGTGCACATACACATATGCAGGTACATTCACACACGTGTGCTTGCATTCACATGAGCACACAGCTTGCATAAACATATGCATGAGAAGAAGAAAAAGAAAGAGACCGTTTAAATTAAATAGTACGTGGATGGGGGATCTTTTACATGTTCTAGCCCTGAAAATTCAGAATGAAGATTACAGGAACAAATTCATGGATTTGCTTTGTTTTTATTTTTTTGTTTTGTTTTGTTTTGTTTTGTTTTTGTTTTTGTTTTTTGGTACTGGAGATAGAACCAAGAGCTCTGTGAATGCTAAAACACATGCCCTACCACTAAGCTCCTTTCTAGTCCCTGCTCCATCAATTCAGATAGTGCTCTATGTGACAACAACTTTTACATTAAAATTAAAATTTATAAGAACTTTTCCTGTCATATATGGCACTTTCACTTGAGTTATGTCATATATGTGGTAGCACTTGGGCTACATTAAAAATCCATTTGTGTGGCCTTAGCAGAGATCTATCTCTCAAAGTTGAAACTGACTTTAGTAGTCTGCTGAAGGACAACAATGATTGAAGAAGGCTCACCCACTTAGCATTTTCTGTAAACACAAATAATACAAAAATAATTGACTGAAAGTCAGAATATAGGTTCTATCAAATTTAAAGCAAGGGAATTTTTAAAGGCAAAAACACTGCAATTCATGAGCTCACACTTAATTCATCTAAATATCACTGGTATGTCCACAGTAATAACTAAGTTCCATAATCTTTAATACTTTAATGACTTTCTGTCACATTAAAAACCACTCTTTGGAAATCAGTATGGAGATTCCTCAGGAAAATGGGAATTAATCTACCACAAGACCCAGCAATTCTACTCTTAGGCATATATCCAAATGAGGTAAATTCATACAACAAGGGCATCTGCTTCACTATGTTCATAGCAGCATTATTTGTAATAGCCAGAACCTGGAAGCAACCTAGATGCCCCTCAACTGAAGAGCGGATAGAGAAAATGTGGTATATTTACACAATGGAGTATTACTCAGCAGAAAAAACAGTGGAATCTTGAAATTCACAGGTAAATGGATAGCACTGGAAGAAACCATCCTGAGTGATGTAACCTAGTCGCAAAAAGACAAACATGGTATGTACTCACTCATATATGGATTTTAGACATGGATCAGGATAGTGCCAGTCTGCACTTCCACTGATAGAGAGTCTGAGAAACAGGAAAGAACCTAAAAGATATGTATATATGCATAGTACCCAAGAGAAGAGGATTGAGACAAGTTGGGGAACACGGCGAGGGTTGGGGGGAGTGGTAGCTGGGAAGAAGAGAGGGGAAGAAGAGGAAGAGAGAGTAGGTCATGGGGGAACAGGAAGTTGAGTGGGTGGGGGTAGAATAGGGTGAAGAGGGATCATAGGTTAGAAGACAGATCAGGCACCAGAGTGACCTCGAGTGATCTAAAGGGATAACACCAATTGGCAAGCTAAGCAATAGTGGAGGGACCACCTCGAATGCCCATTCCTGATAATGAACTTGATGTCTATAACCATCCGGGAGCCTTCATCCAGTGATTAATGGAAGCAGAGGCAAACACACAATTAATCACTGAACTGAACCCAAGGAACCCAGTGACAGAGAGAGGAGTGATGGCAAATTGGCAAAGAATGGGCTGGCAAAACCAGTAGAGACAGCTGATCTGAGCAGGGGAGAGCTCTTGGACCCTGGACTGACAGTGAGGAGGCCAGCATGGGACTGATCTGGACTCCCCAAATGTGAGTGTCAGTGAGAAGGCCTGGGCAACCTATGGGGCCCTGAGCTGTGGATCAGTGTCTATCCCTGGAATACAAACAGTCATCATGTGCCCATAGCACAAAGAGGGATGCTCTCTCAGCCTGGACTCTTAGTTGAGTGCCTGGACCCTACCCAGAGTGAAATGACAGACTCTAGATATCCCCTATGTGGAAGGATTTGGCAATAGGGTGGGAGGCTGGGGGGAAGGGGAGTGTGGGAGGAGGGGAGGGAGAGAGAACTGGGATTGACATGTAAAACAAGCTATTTAAAATTAAAATAAAAAATGATAAGAAAAGAAAAAAACACAGTTTCTGATATATCATTAAGAAGCCCTCCATGTCAATGTAGAATAGTATCTCTTTTATTGAACAGCTCACCAGTTTCATTCATTCACTGCCTTTAAACACTGTGTGTATGGGATGTTCTCCCAGCTTATTTCCAATTACTTGCTAGATTTCAGTGATTCCTTATGTCTTTAATTAAAAACATGTTTTGTGGTACTTGTTATACACACTAGGTAGGTACTCACCACTGAGATACATCCTCAATGCTCAGTACAGGATCAGCATCATCAGTCTTGGGCTACAGGGTCTCCATCCTCAGTCTTGACATACAGGGTTTGCAACCATAGCCTTTGATCTACAAGGTCTACAACCCCAGACCTTGCACACTGGAGCTAACATCTGGTGTGCATTTGGGAAGCAAGGAGATAAAGTAGAGGGGTAGATGAGGAGACTTGTGAAAAGTCAAGAATCTTGGTGGTCCCATGTTATCAGATCTTCTGCTGTTGTTTTTCCCAGAAACCAATGTCCTTTCATCAGGAGTTTTTGAAACACTCAAATCGACCCAAAGTTGGCACTGGGAAAGGTTTTGATTTGGTTCAAAACTTCAAACCTATGAAGTTGGACTGAGTTCTGACCCTCACAAAATGCACATTCCTTCAGAGGTCACTTGACTTCATCACCAAATACTCTGAGATGGAGCCCAGAGTTCCTGGTAATTGTTCTGCATCAAAGACCATGGAACTCCAATTTTGGGGAATCAGGCATACCACTTCATTTCATGTGCTCTTATTTCACTGCTTAGGCCATTATGGAGATGTGAAGATTTCCCTTTCTATCGTATTCCCAGCCTCACTTTCTCCACCTTTTCCTTCTCAGCTGCCATCCTACACTTGACGGGATTCAGTTATGTAATCTACTGGCCCTGTGCTTCCAAACCGGGAACCTGGTTCTGATTAGCTGCCCAAATCACTGGCAAACACCAGTGTAACTGGAATAAAAATAGACTAAAAATGATTATTAGGACAAGCAACCATTTTTGTTATTAGGCTGTAGACAAATGATCATGATTTTCCTGTTTTGAGTTGAACCCTAAAGATAAAGGCATCAAAACATGCTAGACTTGTCTAAGCTCATGCAGCTGCCTTGGATGCTAATGATAACAAATTTAGTACAGATTGCTTAAATGTGACCTCTGTAGAGCATTGAGTAAATTGTTTGAACTGAAAATGCTCCTATCCAAAGAAACTGTATCCTAAGCATTCATACAAACTAATTAGCCAGCTAGTTCCTTTTGTTTTGGTGTATTTTGGTGTATGGAAGCAATAGTTCTTAGAGAACATCATGTATTCTTCAAAAGGGAAATACATCAAAATCCTGCAAGCTTAGGTAGGGCTGAACTCTGTGTCCCAGTGTCTGTAGGCATTATGAGAGGCTCTGTCGCTCTGTGGTAATTTTGAGACTGGGGTTAGCTTTGAAATCATCACCAGCACAGTTAGAAGTTCTTTCTTCACACAAAAACCAGGAGACATGAATTTTCTGAAATTTTTAAATAAATTATTTTTTTGTATTGTGTGCTCCAAAACAAACATTCTGCCTGCGGTCAGTCAAAGGAAAGGAATGGAAGGGCCCTCCTATGTCTAGTGGCCGGGAGTCTGCTGGGAAACAGTGCTAGAGCTAGGCAAAGGCAAGAGGCGAGTTGGGAAATGAGGAGCCAGGATAAGAAACCCCTGTGTTTAGGAGCTTGGAAGGGAGGGTTACTGAAGTATAACCATGACCTTGCTTGTAAATTGCTTCCTGGAAGGAGATGCTGTGAACTCTGCATTGACATTGACATTTTCTTCCCCTAAAACTAGTCTTTAGATTTTGTTGGCAGGTGCGCTTAGAGGTCAGCACAGTTGAAGGCAGCTTTTACTATTTTAGGCACAGAACCTCTTTCCTCTGTGACTTGAGTTAACCTTTCACCTACTTGCTGTCCGGGTCCTTCAAACTACTCTGCATCCAGATGCCTATGGCTAGGCCACTCTTCACAGGAAAGAAAAAAGGTAAAGAAATTATGCTGAGGGTCCTGCCTTCCATTCTTGGCCCTCCATCCCTCCCAGGATGCCACACACACCACAGGGTTAAGAGGTGTTGAGTTTCTCGAAACTCTGGACAAGTTCCCTGAGCCTCTCACCTTCCAAAGCAAAGCAGCTTTCTCCCATCCAACTCCCAGTTCCAGAAATTAATTCCCTATTTTCTGGGCAAATTGCCTATTGAGAATATGTCTGCAAAAGGGATGTTCTCACTGATATTAAATGGGGAGCTGGCGGTGACATCAGCGGGTTCGTGCTGCCAGGAGAACCTCAGTGACTCCTGGCCAACAAAATCACATTTTCAGTTTCCCTCCTCATCAGCTATGAATCAGCTGGTCTGCAGGGGCTTGTAGCAGGGTAGTACAGTGACCAGGAGAGAGGCCTCCAAGGGGAAGATGTAGGTTCAAATCCAGATGCTGGCATGTCTTAGTTATAGGCATCATGAGCAAGTCAGCCAGTCTCTATGTGCTGGATTTCCTTAGCCACAAAATCAAGGTTCTACTAGGTAAAATACTGTATGGAGGGCAATTAATTAAAACACAGAATACTCAGACCAGAACCCAGCACTCATAAGTGCTCAAGAAATTATTAGCAGTTATTGTCACCATCTGTTTTTGCTGCAGACTAATATGCTCTAGTGATGCATGGTGTGTTTCTCCAAGAATAAAGCAGTGGTTACTACGACAACTAGAGAGTTCATGGAATGTCATGGCACAGAGTATGTTACATCTAGGATGACTCAGTCATCATATCACATGATCAGAGCCCAACTCAGGAGATAACTGCTTTGATCTCTAGCATAGATCTGCACTATTGTCATTTTAAAATGTCTTTTAAAAGTAATCAACTAAGGTGATTATCATAGGACACCCCTGAAATCCCAGCACTTGGAGGACAAGGACAGGAAAATCCCAAGTTTCAGGCTAGCCTTTAACCTGTCTTAAAAAGGGAACAAAAGAAAAATATAAGCTTCCTCTACAAGAGGCAGGCTAAAAATGTTTCTGGGGGTGTCAAACAATCAAAACCCTGCTTTTTTTTAATGTTCGAGTGTTTTGCCTGCATGCGTGTTTATATACTTTGTTGTACCTGGTACCAATGGAGGCCATAAAGGAACCTCATCTCTCCTATAAATGGAGTTACAGACAATTGTGAATTAGCATGTGAGTACTGGGAACTGAACCCAGGTCTTCTACAAGAGCAGCCAGTGCTCTTAACTACTGAGCATCTCTCCAGCCCTTAGAACATTGTTTGAAGCAATATTTTTTACTTGAATTTTGAAAATTTCCCACATGTACATAATATATCTTGATCATATATAGCTCCACCTCTCTTCCTGTAACTCCCCCATGTCTCTCCCCCAACACATCTCCCTTCCAACTTCTTGTCTCTTCTTTTTATTTCTTTTTTGTAAATAACCTACTGAGTCCAATTAGTGATATCTATACGCACATGGGTGTGGAGCCATTCACGGGGCATGAACAACCAATTAAAGGCCCCAAACCCAAAGAAAAGTGGTACTTCCTCTCCAGCAGACATGAGCTGCCAATGGCTCCTCCGCAGCCAGGGGAAAGGCCTCAGGAGCTCTTCCCTGATCTGTGTTTGAACTTCTAACTCTTCTGAACTCATAGCTACTGTGAGTTTATGTGTATAACAGCCATTCCATGTCTGTACATATCATTTTATAACAGTCCACTCCAACCTGTGACTTTTGTTCGCGGTTGTGCCAGAATTTTTTCAAGATTTAAGTTAGTTGGTTGCTGATAATATCTGTGCAATTAGGAGTCTCCATGTCAAAAGAATTTCTGGGCAAATTTTTCCTTTGTCTATTTGGATCACTTGTTTAACAATCAGACTTACCTTGAACTGAGTAAGTGCTCATTCCTTTACATTGTAAAGGTATTTGTTTTCCAGGTTAACATCTCTCTGCCGTAATCTAGTGAGTTCTAAGCAACCTGTAGAAGCCACTGGGCTTTTAATCTCCAACTTATAATTCTTTTGGCACTTAGATATTTAATAACTAAATAACACATAGAAAGTAGTAGAACCCTACCCACAGGTTTCTCAGGCACAAGCAGATGACAAGTTGCACATACCACTCAGCCATCACCTGCAGACTACTGCTACATAGTAACCGGCTGCCTTCAGCTTATAGCAAAGGAGACTACTAAGCTTAAAATGCCTTTAGGCCTGTCTTTTGGGGCATACATCTTCAAATTCACCATGATGGTCTCAAAATCCTGGGTTCGAGGATTCCCCCTGCCTCAGTTACTCCCATAACTGATATTAGGCAATTCTCATTGCTCAGATAGGTGTCTTTAGATATTGCCATAGCATCAGGTTACAGAATCAATTGTGTTAGCATCAGTCTTCAATCAGAGGAATCCAGATTATTTTGGATCCTGTCAAACTTACCTAGAGTTCAACATGAGTGAGCTGGAGGTCATTATATGCAATAAAAAATTGTAAATTTCAAAAACACCTGTCCATCACCTAGGAGAATCCCCAGAATAGTAAATTCTCAACAAGGAATAGAATGCCTGGTTGAACATAGGTCATAATAAATGAACATAGTGGCACAGTCAGCAAATGTGGGACAGGATATAATTGGGACATTTCTTGGGCAAAGACCATTGTTGAAAGCAATTTTATCCCATGTCATTTTTTAAGCCACCATGATCCCAAGTAATCTCCCTTGTAGAACTCTTCTAAATGACACATTTCTCCTTCATATTCAATGTGCCTTTTAAATCCTCAGCCCCATTTGCCATGGTACCTGAAGACCTTGCCAGGAATTTTATAAAGAGCATGTCTTTGACTTTTGTAAAGAATTCTTCCAGTGTTTTCTAACTAGTACCAAAACCATTTGTGGGACTTTACTTGGCCTTTTCCATTTCTAGAAAACAACTGGATTCTTTTGTTTTCGTGAGTAATGATTTAACTACTGTAACTCTCCTCCCCACTCATCTTGCCTGCCAGAGAATACCACAGGCCAGGCCTCCTGGCAGCACCACTGTAGGCTGTGCTATAACAGTCAAGAGGGGCATCCCCTAGCTTCTCCCAATAAGAGCATCCAAAGGGCAGCCCAGGCTGTACCATAGTGACAGCTTACCAAAGTGGCAGGGCTGCTCTGGGTTCATGCATCTCATTTGAGATTCACGAAGATGAGTAATAAATGCCTGTCCTTGACAGGCCATAGGAGAAAATGTTATGAAAGCTGTTTATAAAACGTTAGCAAACACCCCTGACAACTACCAGCGGGAATAGCCACTTACCTAGATTTTTCAAAACTAGTATTGAGTCTTCCAGCCTGCCCTGCTTGGCAGGGAAGGGATGCTGAATGTGTTGGAGACAAGGAGTTGGCTCTGAGTAGTTCTGATGACTCCAGGGAGACAATCAACCTGTGATGATTGCTTCATTAGAAAATTGATGAAACCAGTTCTACCAACCCATCCATGCAAAGGATAGGGGTTGTGGGAAAACCCACCAGTGTGATAAAGCCAACTCCCTCTGCAAGAAGAGCAAGACATGTGGGCAATGGAAGCTAAGGCAAACACTTTAGAATTATCACACAAATTCACTTGTAGCCTAGACGCAATAATATTCCTGCTCTGATAATGTCTTCCCACGAGCCAAACACTCAGATGAAATAAGTAAATAGCTTGTGTTTGGGGAGTACATGCTGGTTTTGCAGCCAAGAGGCCATTTACTCTTATAGTTACATTACATATACACTTAAATATGTGACAGCAATCATCGTTCAGTGTGATCATATGTGATGGCTATAATCGCTACTCACAGAGATTGGCACATATTTAGCCCTTTATTGCTGACACTAGAATATTTGGAATTTTTTGTGACTAAGTTATTTTCATCTCCAAGAAATACATGCTAGAACTTATACTTTAAAGGAAAGTGTTTGAGAGAATTGTAGGACTTTACATGAGCAAGAATAAAGGCAGAACTTTTGTCTTCGTGTAATAAATGAATTAATGTTCACACACTGAGACTATGATATAATGTCCCATTATTTAAACTGACATTTGCCTGTGTTCATGGTTCCTCTTTTGTGTTATTTTAAGATATATTTTACCTGATGCTTCTATAGCAGTGACTGTGAGTGCAAAGACATGGAGACTGGGTTTGATGGCAGACCATGTGCCACTTTAATCCCAGGACATCTTCCTTGCTGGAGAACAAAAGAAGTAAATATCAATTCATTATTAATTGCCTACAAACCCAGAAGGCTCAGCTGCTTTAGGTTAACTTCAATCTTATTTGTCAAGTTTCTGTCAGTGTGTGGTACTGGAAGTCTTTTTCTCTTTGTTTTGCAACCCAGAAGTTAACTGGAAGGATCTGGGATGGTGACTTGTTATTTTTTCCTCTGTTGTTTTGTTATTTATTAATTTATCTTGCTGTTTTCTCCTCACAAAGGGCATGGGAAAGCTAGAAACACTGTCAGCCCCATATGCTAATGTCACCCTGCTAGCTTCCTTTCATTTGCTCTTTAAATGTCACAGCACTGGAGATGCCATTGGTTGTAGTGCCACAATGGTCATAATACCACCACCTTCTTGAACACCTATTTGCTAGATACTTGGTTCTTCTGCAGCCTTCATCAGAGGTACAGAAGACAAAATGGCAGAAGCAGAAATGAGGAGAAACCATCTCTGGCTGTTTATTAAACATGAATGTGGTAGAAATTTAGGCTGGAAGCCAGCCATGGTGTTTGAAGATTATAGGAGTCTGTGTGTGCAAATGAGTAACTCACAGAGGTACTTAGCTTGGGGAGTTGCAACTAGAACATGAAAAAGACAGAAGTGGAATCGTCATGGTAAGAATAGAACTTGGTGCATGGGAAGCCTGAATCACCAGGGAGCGTGGAGCCTGAACATCATGTGCAACAAGCAAAGGACACACTTCAAAAAACGAGCCCAGGGGAACCAGCATTGGACCAAACCAAGCCATCTGAATGTGGGTGCCAGCTAGGAGGCCTTGGCAGACTATAAGAACTCTAACAGTGAAGACAGTGATTATCCCTAGTGCACAAGTGGACTTTGGGAGCCCATTCCCTGTGGAGGGATACTATTGCAGCTCACATACATGAAAGAGGGCCTAGGCCCTCCCCCAAATGATGTGACAGAATTTGATGATCCCCCATGGAAGGCCTCACTATTTTTGAGGAGTGGGTGGGGTGGGATGGGGGGGTCAGTTGGAGGCAAGGGAGGATAGGAGGAAGAGGAAATGGGGGGAAGGAAGATTGTTTCTAAAATAAATAAGTATAAATAGAAAATAAAATAGATATGCTATTTTGAGAAAAAAGCAATGTACCCAGGGTACATGTTTCAAAGTGTTACATCTGTTCAGGGCCATAGTTCAAAGTGAAGGACATTTCTAGCAATTTAGCCATCTACAGCTTATTTGAAAGACTCCAGGTTTTATGAAGCACTTTGTACCAGATGTGTCAAATTGCCATTCAGTGCAGATAGAAGTATTTCTATTATGGAGGATTCTTATAAGCTTTGGGACTTAAATAAAAAGTACGCATCTTGCACTTTTAGAGACAAGAGGGCAACAGCATGCCCAAAGATACCAGCAGAGCCAGCTGTGAGGTGCAGACTGGCAGGGAATTCTGAAGAGGCAGAAGCAAGAGGATTGTCAATTTCAAGCCAGCCTAAACTAAACCATTCACAGGTGATAGGAAAGGGAAAAGACAGAGGTTTAAGTGAGGCGAAGGGATGTTTCAGGGACAAATAACAACATTAAGGATGTTTGAAAAAGTCATATGGAAACCTACTGTTTTATAAGATTGTAAATAGGTTGTGATACTCGTGGGATAATGCTCTTCCCAGAAACTGTAAGTTACCAACTAAACAAGTAAAAGCCCAGTGCCAGCAAGTATGGGATATTTCCTGAGTTGTTGGCCAAAAAACCATAGAGACAACCCTCATAAACAATACAAGCTATTGCTCTTCATTGTCCAGCAGAACTTGAGGGTAAGGTCCTATTGCTAAAAACACCACACATTTTGGTCACAGAATATGTAGAAATAAAGTTGGTGCTGACCAAGAAGTTTCCTCTCAGCTGGATATCTCTCATAGTATTATAAAGAACTATGTAGAGGGTTGGGTGGGTGGAGGGAGAGAGTCATCATCTTACCCAACTGTGAACTCTGTGAACTGTAATAGCTGGTTTGGGTTGATATAACCAGGGGTGTGTAACACGAAAAATAAAAGACCCAGAGACTGATACTGGGTTTCAAACTTCAAGCTGAAGATCAGAAAAGTAAATCAGCCAGTCATTATCTCTCACCTCAACCTCATACTGAAAGGGCTGATCCACTCATGAGCTCTTCACCAAGTCACAAACTGCTGCCTCTTTTTAGTGTAGCTGGAGAATGAATCTTCTCTGAGACCTTGCTTCTGTCTTATATACTTCCCTAAAGTTGGGATTAAAGGTGTGAGATATAGTTCTCTTTTAGATTGGTTCACTCTTGTGTAGATCTGGGTGGCCTTGGACACACAGCCATCTGTCTACCTTTTAATCCTGAGTCCTAGGATTAAAGGTGTATACCACCTAACTTCAGGCTTCTGGGATTAAAGCTGTGTGCCTGCCTTCTAAGGATTGTAGCCGACTTTGTTTTTCTGAATCCTCAGTCAAGCTTTAATAAATCATGAATAATATATCACTACAGGGGTATAATAATGGTACAAATGTTATAGTAATAACCTACCACTTTCTAATTAGATTTAAGGCCAGCTCCCCCAGAGGTAACACATTCCTGGTACTACAAATCCAGCTAAAAACTCATTACTAAGGTTCTCATGGGCCCCAAAAGTGAACCTACTACTGCTATTTTGCTAAATGGCCATAGCATCAGAGTGTCTTATAAATTTGAATCTCTCCACCCATAAATTAGGATAACACTCAGACCTCATCAGAGACATTTCTTTGTGCAGTGGATAGTCATTAGCAAAGAATCTGACAACTGATCAAATTGCAGAAAATAGGTGTCACTAGAGTTCTCAGCCATAAAGGAGACATCTGTATCATACTCTGTCCCCACCAATGGTCAGGGGCCACTGAGGAAGAGGATGTGAAAAGATTGTAAGAATCATAGGTCAGGAGGACTGGAGTGATACAGCATTGTGAGTATATCACAGTACTAGTGCCCTCATGAACTCACAGCAGCTGTGGTTGCCTGAAGAAAATCAAGTAAGTCAATGTTCTAGAACAGAGGAGGGTAAATCTCAAGAGCTCCCACCCCTAACTGAATTAATGAGAGTTGATGGCCCCTGGGAATAGAAAAGCCATTCTCTTTAAGGTTGTGGCCACTGGTGGGTTGATAGATGGCTCCATACCCATAAGTATATGGGTAGTACAGAGTGAACCCAGTGGGTTATTTTTTTTGAGACATATGAAGTTGAGAGTGCTGGGGAGGTGGGAGGTGGATCTAGGAGGAGTTGGGGATGAATATGATCAAATTATATGAAATTCTCTAAGAATATGCATATGCATACATAGGGATGTTTTATTGATGTTAAGGTCAAGCCATAATTTGGTATTGTACTGGAACGAAGACTTTTACAGCCTGTGACTCTCCCAAGAATATGCACCAACATAGTTGTATATGTTATGCTAGCCTTGGACCTTAAGCAAAGAATGGAATTGATCAAAAGCACCTTCAAGATCATCTCCTACCATGATTTTACAGCTGAGGAGACAGATGTCTGCAGATACTGTGAACCTTACTAGATAAACAGGGATGAATCCCAAAATTACCAAATGTTCAAAAGCACAGACAACAGAAGCAAGTTAGATAAACAGGACCAAATTAAGCTTATAAAATTAGTCAGGGAAAAAAATCAACAAAGTGAATAGACAAACTAAGAATGAGGAAATATTTGTAAATTGCATTTGACATTCCATAATATATACTGAATTCACATCGCTCCATAACAAAATAATAATTTATCAATATTGTCAATGTATGTAATAATAAAACCAGATGTAATCTTAATGCTAAAGTTTTAATAATATTGATTAAATATTAATGTTTTATTGATATTAATCATAATCTTATTCTATTTATTTGTTTTTATGAAACAGTTGAGGTTTAATAAATATATTTTAATGTAGGCTTACGTGTGAGAATTAAGAGAAAGAGAAGCTCTCAGGGAAAGACAAGACATTCCACAGATCGTGGATCTGTGGGCTACTCAAAAAAGAGTCACAGAAAGAAAAACACACCAAGTGTTGACTTGGGCTCCTAAAGGGAAAATTACCTGAATCTGACTTTAAAATGGACAAAATTACTAGTAGACGTTTCTCGGGAAATATCAAATGTCCAAAAGATGAATAAAGATCATCCAACATGACGTCATTAGAGAAATACAAATCACAACCATAGTGAAAACTCACCTTACTCCTGTTAGAACAGCTAGTATCATAAAATGAGAGAGAACAAGTGTCAGTGAGGACATGAAG